ATGGCTCCGGCGACCTCATCGCCTTCATCTCAGAAGCTCACGAGCTTCATCCACCGCACGCATGCACCGCACCACATTCGGAAAAAGACATTTGACTCGCCGCCGGTCAAGAAGTACAGGTCAATGGAGGATATAATGGCGAGGGCGAAGTACGCGGTGGTGGAAAAGGAGGATTACGGTAGCCTCATGTGTGAGCAATGTGGCACCGGTGAGCAACCGGAGGAGCTGCTATTGTGCGACAAATGTGACAAAGGATTCCATATGAAATGTGTGAGGCCAATTGTTGTGAGGATTCCGATTGGTACCTGGATTTGCCCTAAGTGTTCGGGGGTGAAGAAAGTGAAAAGTAAGTGATTTGCTTCATCTTCAAAACGTGTTTGTTTTTCGCTTTTTGAATGAGCTGTTTTCTCACCGTGATTATGAATGTGGCATTGTTTTTGTGATCGTTTAATGTGTTTCAGAGTTCACGCAAAGGAGAATACTTGATTTCTTTGGGCTTCCAAGGGATTTACCTGATTTCAGACGGAATAATTCTGCTTCTCGGGGTAATGTACTGTTAAATTCAGACATGATTAATATCTATTTTTTATATTTATTTTCTTGTTATTTTTTCTTTGGTTATTTTTTAATCCCTTTGATGATCATTTATTTTCTATGTGCTGTGTGGATATTTATTTTGCCATTTTGAATCAAGCTTCTCAGTAGCTGCTTGTCTTTGTGAAAGTGATGTTGGTTGAATTTTGTTTATGCCATTGCAGAACTGATTTATATAAGAGAACCAATTATTGTACATTGGAGCTTGACTTGTGTGAATTATAAATATTTTGTAGCTTGTTCTTTCAAATTTATTAGATATATGAATGAGTTCTTGTAATGAATGATCTTTAGAACTTGTTTTAATTTTTTGTGAGTGAAGCATTTGAGGCTTTGGTGTTTTTTAGCCTATGAAATGTCAGTCCCTCGGTTGTGGAGTGTTTCTTGACAAACTATGTAGGACGCGGACTTAGATGTTTCCGTCACCGAGCTCCATAAAATTTAGGCTTGATACTTTGGTTATTGTTATTGCCCAATGATCAAAGGGCAGTTAGGATGGATTTACAGAAGTAGACTTATTGAGGTGATCTACATTTACTAGATTGTGATTTTAATGAACAGATAGCTACCAAAGGTTTTTTGTTGAAGCGGCCTTTAGATACGATCAAACAGAAATGGCATTTGATGCAAAACACACCTTTCAACTTATTACATCACAATTTATATGTAAAGCAGCTGAAAGGTAGCTGCATCTCACAAGCTTGCACATTTTGGTGCAATTGGTATGTTAAGCCTTTACTGCTGTTTAAAGGTAAAGGCAGCCCAATCAAATGCCTTTACTGGATGTTGTAGTTGCAAATTATACTATGAATCAAAGTGGTCTACCATTTTTGCTAGAAAATAAGTTACTAGGATAGCTTAACCATTAGAGTATTTGATATTTATGCATTTTCAAGAAAACTAAGAAGACTCTGGCTTACCTTAAAAGGTATTTGATACATCCTATGTGTATAGAAGCTCTTCATTATTACTTATGAATGAAAAATGATGCATGTTAATATTCCTTTGGATATTTGTTCCTTCATGTTTTTGCCGAAACTGTTCTTGTATGCTTATGTTACCTAGAATGGCAAACACATTTACTCTCTTGCTACTTCTACAAGATGTACCACAGATCCTTAGAAAATATTTAAATGGTAAATGAATCTAAACAGAGTTACTTTTAGATACCTTATTTTTCTACAATTTTTTGATGTTTTGATGTCATGTTCTAAGTACTTGGTTGATATGTACTAAAGATTACACTAAAGTATAGTTTTGCTTCATTTGTGTGAGATCTCTATATAATTATACACATGATATTAAATTGGAAGTTGTTTTCTTTTTAATTTATCCATTATGGACTTCTAGATGCTATGAGGCGGCGGAGACGTCCAAAACCGCTGGTGTTACAGAAGAAACGGAGAAGATTACTACCATTTGTTCCTACGCTAGACCCGGCCAGGAGATTGAAACAAATGGCCTCCCTAGCTTCTGCGTTAACAGCACTGAATATTAAATTCAGTAATAGCCTGACCTACTCTCCAGGAATGGCTCCCAGAGAAGCAAATCAGTCCACCTTTGAAAATGGTGGAATGCAGGTCTCAACTAATTAATTTCTTGTAAAATTTTCACACATTCAAATAGAATTTTTGCAAACAAACTAATTAGCATGCACATCTCCATCATTGTGTTCTAGTTTGATAGATAATTTATTTATTTTCCTCTCAGAATCTTAATAAGGAAGACACAAAAACCTTAGAGCGCTGCATAACTATGACCAAACGAGGCAAATTCCCACCATTAATGGTGGTTTTTGATTCATGTCAAGGGTACATATTTATCTTACACTCATTACCGCGAAGTAGGAAATCAATTTCTGTTAACTTAATATTTAGCTGATTTCTTTGACCCAGCATATAGTAATTACCGAAATGTAGGAAGGCAGTTTACGTGTTATCTTAACTTTTTTTTGGATTTTCCTTGATATGTGATGTAGCTATACTGTGGAGGCTGATGGCCCTATAAAAGACATGACATTTATCGCTGAATACACCGGCGACGTGGATTTTATCAAGAACAGAGAAGCTGATGATTGTGACAGCATGATGACGCTGCTTCTTTCAGGAAACCCTGCTACCAGTCTTGTTGCCTGTGCTGATAAACGTGGAAACATTGCTCGCTTTATCAGTGGCATTAACAATCATACTCCGTAAGCCTGTCTCACTTTCTCATGTTAATCTTGATTTAGAAGGATAGAACAAGAGGGATAGGGTGGGATGAAGACCATTTTACTTGGTTTCGTCATTTCATGTGGACTGCTCTATATTTCTGTGTTATACTACTGATTTGGACATTCTTATTTCCATAATCCTTCTTGCAGCCCATTTCATAAGCTGTTTGGCTTTAGTATGCTCTATAAAGAACTAAACTTATACGGACTCTAATATCATAAAATACTTATACTTTTTCTTTAGTAAATTGAGGTTGTTATTTATTAAGTTTCATTTTTAATTCATATGCAGGGACGGTAAGAAGAAGCAGAACTGTAAATGTGTGAGATACAATGTTAATGATGAATCGCGGGTCTTTTTGATTGCTACCCGAGATATTTCCAAGGGGGAGAGGCTTTACTATGATTATAATGGTTATGAGAATCAATACCCAACTCAACATTTTGTCTGAGTGAAAGTCATAAATATTTTTTTATTAGTCTTATAGATTCGGGACACAATTTTAGATCTTCGGAAAAGGATTTTCATGATTCTCATGAAAAATATAGCTTATAGTCCTTGCAGATTCAACAAATTTTTTCGCAAATAGTTGCGATGAGTTATTCATTGTAATTTAAGCTTAGAGCTGGCCCAGTTATGTGGCTTAGATATGAATAGAGAGAACCATAGGAAAACTTTCTTCAGTTAAGTAATGTCTCAAAAGATGAGCTGAGATATACCTGTTTTCTTTTACTACAGTTTCAAGGGATTGAAAAGATTCTCAGATTTTACATTAATGGTATTATCTTCAATATTTATTTTCTTTTGATATCATTTGTTATTTCCTATAAATATTGGTTTTGATTGTAATATTGGCCAATCTTGTTTTGTATGCAAACCTAATCATCCTGATGAGGGATATTATTATACTTGAAGGTGATTTTTACTATGGATTACTATCAAAGAGATTGTCTATGATAGACCAGACAATTTTTTTTTTACCATTAGATAAAGTAAAAACATTGGTTCTATGTCTCTTCACATTAGATATTTTTATACACTATCTTCAACCACCATTCTTCTCCCATTTTTGTGTGCCTTCTGCCAAAAAGTTCCTAATTTAGGAATTGCTTCTCTCTCGTCTCTTCCCATTAGATCTTTTTTCGCACTATCCACCTTTCTTTTCATTCTCTTCCACAGGTGTTTTTTCTTAAATATTCAACATTTTTTTTAATTTAATAGGATACTTAATCACTCACACTTAAGTCCAAACGTAAATCCTCAATGTGTTTTTTCTTGATTTGAAACATGGTGAATGATGAAACTCATGTTGGTTTATGTTTTCTTCTATTTCTCTTTGCTTGATACAAACTCGGTTGAAAATTTAATTGTTGATGTTATGATGAGATTAATGTCTTCAGTTTATAATGCGTCAAGATATTCATATTTACCTCAAAACAAAATACAGTTATTATTATAGTCATTTATATGCCCGGAAGATATTTCAACCCTAACGAAAAAATCATCTATAAATATTTTAACACATTTATGATCTAACATTTATGACCTCAAATTTGGATGTTGGAGTTTGATGGTAGCTATAGCTTTCAATTTGAAAAATTAAAGTTATCCGCGAAGGATTTCATTCATTTATTTTGTACAGGATGTTCCTTGTTTGATCATTATTTTAAAAGTTAAAAATGTGAGATAAGATTTTGGATTATTATTTTCATTGAAACAAACAGTTGAGTTAGATATTGTGGGGGAATTTTTTGTTTTCTTTCTGAATTTGACAAATGGATCATAAGTAATTAATGTTAACTTTTGTTGCATCTTTGAGAAGGTATCTGTAGATGTCTTTTACTGACATTTTAGTAGTTCCTAATGATATAATGGGGTTCTGCTTGCTAAGAATTGGGCTGTGGTCCCCGTCCCCGAACAACTCAGTAGTTCCTATATATATACACGTCTTTTACTAACATTTAGGATGAAATTAAATGATGATCATCACAATATCAATGTTACAAAAACTGCATCTTATATATAAAAATTGTTAAGTTATTTAGTATGAAAAAAAAACTAAAAAATATATAAAAAAATTCAACTGCAACTTCCACTAATCTCCTAATCAAACCATGTTTCCAATTAGTCAATAAAATTAAAAAATAAAAATAAAAACATTACCAATATAACTAATTAATTCTACTAACTCTATCAACTCTCTTTTTCACTACAATTAAAGCAGTACATATATGGTGATAACATCTAGATTATTAAATTGATTGTAGCAATCGCAAAATAGATTATTTTGTTTTTTTAAGTAGTCATTTGTAAATTTTATTTTCTCACAACTTCATTTGTTACTTATTTGTTTAATTTATTAAATGGTTGCTATGTTTACACCCAAAATTTAACACGTATGATATACCAAAATGTAACATTTCTCATTTATTAAAAAAAATGATATTCTCACACTTTCCGTTATACATACGCCACATTTATACGAATAATGAATGTTGGGAGCTTTTTTCTCTTTCAGTTTCAATTTGCAGCTTGTGGAAGATAACGTTGTAGGTGTAGAATTGTACATTGAGTTTAAATCTTATTTTGGCCATAGGATTCTGGTGCATGGACATTGGAACAATTATATGAATAATGAATCCTCACTCATATTTACCATTACTGTCAAGTAATAGTTCAGCTTCACCACGTGAGATCCAACCAACTACAATCTTTAATTAAGAGAATTATTACTAACTGAGATAAGGTTGTAATCTAAGAACTGAAATATTGAGGATATTATGTATCTGGTGTGAATTTGGATAGAATGCATCTGGTTGCATTGCCTTTTGTTTATTAAGTTTAATAATTTTTTTTCCTAATAGAAATACACATGTATCCATGTTATATTTTAGATGATGTAAGTTTACGGGGTATATTTTTGGTGTAAGAATAACGATCCTCTTTATTAAATAGCTAAATTTGTTTACAACTATATATATAATAAAGTAGCGAAAAGACTGTGAAGTAACATCTATAAAAATGTACTTTATACATTTTCAAGTGTTTGAAATGGATTAGAAGATGAAGTTTAAGAGGATGAGAAGTAGAAGGTCAATATTTAAGAGTAATTGGACAACTTATAATAGACGTAATCGCTATCATTTGAGACAAGATATGTTGTACTTTAAAAAGAATATAATTCTACCTAAGAATTCATCTAGAAATCCATGGGATTTACAAGAGCTACATGACTCAACTGTGGAGGATATTTGGGATTTTATAGAACCTACAAGAGGATATTCAGATTGGTGTATTGGAAAGGAATGAGGAAGACCATTCGGAATTATGAGCAGGCATGTGAGGTGTGCCAAAGAAACACGTACCAAACATTGAGTTTTGGAGGGTTGTTACAAGTATTAATTGTTCCTACTTAAGTATGGATTTTATTGGAGGATTAACTAAGGTGGTTGAAGCAGACATTATACTGGTTGTGGTGGATATGTTGTCTAAATATCTATACACAACTAAGCACATTGCTGCCTTGTTTACCATGGAGGTTTTTAAATTACATGGCTTCCCAAGTTTCGTTTTATATCATTGAGACAATGTATTTTTGAGTGCCTTTTGGACTGAGTTATTTAAATATGTACATCCTGAGATTTTTATGAGGTCGGGTAGCGAGTTCCATGCACATCTCAAACTCAATTTATCGGACTCTGAAAGGACCATCCAAGTCAGAGTCGTTGTGATATCCCTAGAACAACCAATGGTTGAACTCGTTATAAAATGGTTAATGATTCAATCTATTACAAATTATTAATGGTTATTAATACCAATTGAAAATCACACCACTTCAGTATCCGAGAGGACAAGGCTTGTAATATAAATAGGTCCTTGAGACTAAATAGATGGGGGATGAATAACAGAAATAGAATGGGAGATAAAAAGACCTTGACAATCCAACAATGGAGGACCCTCTTTGTCTCCCCTAAAAACGTCTAAAACACCAAAATTCCCTAACTATTGTGATCCCACCTGACCAGTTTTAAGGGGATTAACCAAATGATGTTTTTAGCAAGAATTTTTGGCGTCCACCGTGAGGCTCCTGTAAAACTAACATGGACCACATATCTTTCATCATCATCCCATCCATCTTCATCCGAGGATGAATTTCATCTCCATTACTATGTTGGAACAAAATTGTCTGATACCATATCCCTTGGGTTTTGATGATAACAAAGTATTTAAAGAACAAATGGGCTATCTAACATCTATTCAAGTATATCAAATTATATCATTAAGAACATATGAAGAAAATCTTGAAGAATCTGATTCTGAATTTGAAGATCATACTCTGCCTCTAACGGAGATCCAGATTCTGGAAGAAGTCAACTCTGAAGAAATTGAGTCTCTGGTGACCCAGACTCTGAAGCTTCAAAAGCCAATAAGAGGACTCTATTATGATCAGCCTCTAAGAGTGAAGTTTGAAGGAAAGTCAACCTTTAAAACAAAAGCTCTTCTACCAAGGCAACTCTGACAGACTCTGAACTTTTTGATCATGTGAAGACTTAAGGAAAATCACTCTCTTGGTGCCTAAACTTCAACGGATAATTCCTCTTGCAGAAAGTTGCTTTGTTGACATGTATAATTAAGTACAAAGCTAGCCCAACCTAGTTGGTGAAAGTCTTCAACGTCTCTTTTTCTCTCTTCTCTATTTAAGGAGCAGAAAGGATGAAGGAGAAGACACGCCTACGTGTGAATGCAACTCTACTACAGACTATGTTCGTTGACATTCAAGAGAAGCTACTATATCAAAATTACAAGACTTAGAACATCTTAAATTTTTGTATATTTTTAGAAGTTCTTAAGTCTTAGAGTCTTTCTAGGTTTTATTATATATATACACTTCTAATTGTATATAAAGTGTAGTTGTTACCCTAAACTCTTAACAGTTTGTTATAGAGCCACAAGTATCTTGCTTATATGCTTGAGCATTTAAAGTATTAAGTTTATGTTCTTAAGCAAGGAAGTATCATACTTATGGGTTTGAATTAGGAAGTTTTTATCTTGTGTGCTAGAGCAAGGAAGTCTTGAGCTTGTATACTTGAGCAAGGAAGTCTTAGACTTGTGGGTCTGAGCAAGGAAGACTTATACTTATGTGTGTAAGCATAGGATATATCTTGCTTGTGAGCTTGAGCATTTGTAATATGTTTTAGTTATAGTGGAAACCAGGATAATTGTTGTGTTTTGTGCTTTTACTTTATTTGCTTCTAAACATTATCCTGCTTCTATATTGTGTTTACCTTTGAATTAGATTTTGTTGTAGAATCTGATAAAGACTTTTAAGAGTTCATACTCTGAGTGATTCTGAAGTTAGACTCTGATTAAGATCAATCACAAGATGTAGCAGAAAAAGTGTGAAAAAACCAACATAATTCAACCTCATTCTTGTGTTTTTCTTACCTTCAG